CAACGATCAATGGTGGGGTCAACAATGGCATGGCCAACAACTCCATGGTCAACAATGGCATGGTGAACAATGACATGGTCAACAATGGCATGGACAACATCTCCACGGTCAACAACTCCATGGCCAACAACTCCATGGCCAACAATGTCATGGCCACCAAACAACTCCATGGTCAACATCTCCATGGCCAACAATGCCATGGCCAACAACGTCATGGCCACCCCCTTGGCCACCACTGCCAAGGCCACTCCAATGGCCACCAGGCCACCAAGGCCACCCCATGGCCACCCCCACCACTAAGACCACCACCATGGCCACCAAGGTCACCCCCACGGCCACCAGGCCACCGAGGTCACCCCCAAGGCCACCAAGGCCACCCCATAACCACCAGACCACCAAGGTCACCCTCATGGCCACCGAGGCCACCCCCACGGTCACCAGCACCAACAAGGCCACCTCCATGGCTACCAGGCCACTGAGGCCACTCCCATGGCCACCAGGCCACCAAGGCCACCCCTATGGCCACCAGACTACCCCTACAGCCACCTCCACGGCCACCAGGTCACCGTGGTCACCCCCATGGCCACCAGGCCACCCCTATGGCCACCATGGCAATCCCAAGGCCACCCCATGGCCACTGGGCCACCAAGGCCACCCCTGCGGCCACCGAGGTCACCAAGGCCACCTCCACGACCAGCAGCACCACCAAGGTCACCCCATGGCTCCCAGGCCACCCCATGGCCACCAAGGCCACCCCAATGGCCACCAGGCCACCAAAGTCACCCCCACAGCCACCAGGTCACCGAAGCCACCCCCACGGCCACCGAGACACCGAGACCACCTCCATGGCCACCGAGGCCACTCCCACGGCCACTAGGCCACCAAGGCCACCTCTATGGCCACCAGGCCACCTCCATGGCCACCCCCACCACTAAGACCACCCCCATGACCCCCAGGCCACCATGGCCACCTCTATGGCCACCAGGCCACCTCCACAGCCACCAGGCCACCGTGGCCACCCCCGCGGCCACCAGGCCACCATGGCCACCCCCATGACCACCGCGGCCACCCCGTGGGCACCTTGATGAGGTCGATGAGGAGGGAGGACTTGAACATCCAGTCGAGCTTCATGTCCTCGTTGCGCAGCAGGTCCTCGAGGCTGCCCCGCGAGCAGTGCTCCGACACCACCGCGAAGATGCCGCAGTCGTGGAAGAAGCCCAGGAACAGGTTCACGTTCTCGTGCCGCAGGTCCCGCAGCTGCCGGGGGAGGGAGGGGACATGTGGGATGGGGTGGGGGACACACGTGGGATGGGGAGGGGTCACCTTGTCCCTTGTGACCTCCCTCGATGGCCCTGTGACCCCACGATGACCCCATGACACTGTGGTGTCCCCATGACCCAACAACGTCCTCCATGGTCCAATCTTGTCCCTCATGACCCCAACCATGTCCCCACGACCCCCCAAATGTCCCCATGACCCGACAACGACTTAACAATGTCTCTATGACCCAACCTTGTCCCTTGTGACCCCCAAATGTCCCAACAATGACCCCTCAATGTCCCCATGACCCGACAATGACCCCCCAAATGTCCCCATGACCCCCCAATGTCCTCCATGACCCCTCAGTGTCCCCATGACCCAACAATGACCCCTTGGTGTCCCCACGACCCCCCAATGTCCCCATGACCCCCCAGTGTCCCCATGACCCGACAATGACCCCTCAATGTCCCCATGACCCAACAATGTCCCCCCAATGTCCCCATGACCCAACGATGTCCTCCATGGTCCAACCTTGTCCCTCATGACCCCAAAGATGTCCCCATGACCCAACAATGACCCCTTGGTGTCCCCACAACCCCCCAATGTCCCCATGACCCCCCTCAATGTCCCCATGACCCCAAAGATGTCCCCATGACCCAACAATGACCCCCCGATGTCCCCATGACCCCCCAATGTCCCCATGACCTCCCAGTGTCCCCATGACCTCCCAGTGTCCCCACAACCCCCCAATGTCCCCATTGACCCAACAATGACGCCCCAATGTCCCCATGACCCAACAACATCCTCCATGGTCCAACCTTGTCCCTTGTGATCCCAACGATGTCCCCATGACCCAACAATGACCCCCCCCAATGTCCCCATGATCCAACAATGTCCCCATGACCCCCCAATGTCCTCCATGACCCCCCAATGTCCCCATGACCCCCCAGTGTCCTCAATGACCCCCCTGGTGTCCTCCATGACCCCGTGACCTCCCCACGACCCCCCTGATGTCCCCATGACCCCCCAATGTCCCCATGACCCAACAATGATCCCCCGATGTCCCCACGACCCCCCAATGTCCCCATGACCCCCTGGTGACCCCACGACCCCGTGACACCCCACGTGACCCCCCCTGGTGTCCCCATGACCCCCCTGGTGTCCCCACAAGCCCCTTGATGTCCCCGTGACCCCCCAATGTCCCCACGACCCCCCCGGTGTCCCCATGACCCCTCAATGTCCTCCATGACCCCCCTGATGTCCCCGTGACCCCCTGACCTTGCAGAAGGTGACCTTGGTGGCCTGTTTGACCTCGGTGTGCTGGTCCCCGGGGAACTTCTTCAGCCACACCCAGTCACCCTGGGGGGGGGGGGGCAAGGGGGGGGGGGGGGGAGGGGTGAGACCCCAACCCCCTCCCCTCCCCCC